CCTTCACTTACGCTAGAAGCTGCAAATAGACTCTATAAAGCCATGGTCCTCCCGGTTCTAGATTATTGTGATGCTGTGTGGCATGAATGTGGACAAGGAAACAGTGACAAGATTGAACGACTACAAAGACGAGCAGCGAGGATCGTCTACTTCAAAGCTGCCTCAAAACTATCTACTGATCAAATTATGACTAAACTGGGCTTGGAACCTCTCTATTATAGAAGACGGACACACATTTTAAGATTTGTTGATGAGTGCATTGCAAATAGAGTTCCCAGATACCTTTCTAATTATTTCAATGTAAGAAACCGTGACATTCACACCGCCACAAAACTAGAAATAATAATGACCTTATTTTGGAAAAAATTAATTTAGAATGCACCAAGCGCGCTTTTTTCTACAAAGGTGCGAAAATTTTTAATAATTTTTAATAATCCTTAGAATTTATAACTGTTCGATCTTTCGTTTGGTGTGACTATTTTTGTAATATTGTGATTTGATTTTTATCTATATTTTAAATCTTTTTTATTTTTATTTTTTCATTTTTAATTTTTTACAGGACCTGCATTGATAGCAGTTTTTTTCTTAAAACTGAAGCAGCAATCCTGCATAAATATGTTTAATTATTATTATTATTATTAACCATAGAACAGCAGGTAAACTTAAAGTCAATGATGTGTATAGATCTACCAAGTGACAACCATGAGATTTCATGTCCAATTTTTAAAAACCAGTTTACTGGAACACTGATAGCTAAAACAAAAACTAGAACATAATCATTATGAAAAGGATCAGAGAGACTTTTAAAGAACAACCCTGTGACCATAATCTTAGATAACCTTAGATAAGTACAAAACTATACGCCAGATGTATTTAAGACAGAAAATTAACACACAAAAATTTTTTCACACCTTTTCAACACGAATTCTTGCAATTGCCTAGCCACGTGCAAGTTGTTAATGTGAAAGAATGAACTGGAGCAGAAAGCAAAAGCCAAGTATATGCTCACCTCCAATGATATCCTTCAGAAACCAGAAATGCAAACTACAGGCGTCTTAGTGTACTGTACTACATATTACAAAGACAAATCTAACCACACCTCTATATTAAAAACCCCACTTGGTATAATACCATAACCGCAACTTCCAAAGGTTTCAAAATGTTCGAAGTAGGGGGCAGACTCTGGAAAAGTAGCCAACTGTAACAATGGAGAACTGCAAGGGCCCTGACACTAGGGGGATGTATAGTATTCCACAGCATACAATCAAGTAGCCTATGAAACTCAGGCAGTTCCCAACTTTTTTAAAAACCATTGGACTTGCCTGAAAACAGAAAGTGCTTCCATCCACGTTCACTGCATCCATATTATCAATCACACACTAACATAACACCAAGATATGAACGCCTTGCAAAAAACAGATAAAGATACAATCTGATCCACCCCCTTTCATAATATTAACTACATTTATAATAAAATAGAAATACTCATAAGCCAATCAATTCCAGTCCAACTAAAAAATTCCTAATGCCAAATGGTCAACCCAAGGGAGGCCTAGGCCAGCTGAAATAGCCAGACCAGATGAATAATTTGAAAGATAATTGATCTGTATTACCATAAATAATTAATAATGCTTTACTAACATCGACAATCTTCGTCAAAAGCCCTCAAAACTTATTCATCTAAAAATACCTACAACAGTTTGGCACATGGAATTTACAAGATTAAACTTATTTCAACGTCATACAAATCCATAAAGCTAAACGCTTCAATTGCTCATCAATTTAAAATTGCTTGACTTCATTTTCGTTCGATTTTCTTCACGATGTCAACACTGAAGTATGTGAACAATTGTTTTCCTGGTTATCCAGGTTCTCAATTATAATGAAGCACATGAACAGATGGTGATTTCTTTTCCTTCTGCTCTACCATTTAGACCAACACAATGAAGATATCGCTAATAATAAGCAGTGTTGACTGAAAAGGTCAACCATTTATTTTTCACAACACAATATTCTAATACAGTATTTACAATAATTCCAAATATTGACCTACCCAAACACAAGTGACAACACACTTTTTTTACAATTAACCTTTCCTATGATGTACCTGATATTAAAAATGTTACTTAACCCACAATCTAGTACATGTAGATGTTCCAACTCAATTTTGTGTTGTGGATCAATTTTATACTTGGTATAATTTATATTTCCCTAATTTGTCTTGGGCTATGATGTTTGAAAAAGAAGAAAATACAATTTAAATCAAGAACATTGCACCAAACACATAAGTTATAACCCACGATGGGGTTTGAAATATTCGCTTCAGGTCGCCAACTTAGACACTGTAAAAGGTACTCATTCTTATCTTTGATATAATACTACTGGAAAAATGACCTGCTGAAAACAGTAAAAAGTAAAGACAGAGAACACTGTAATGCAGTAGTTACGATGGAACTTTATCTCGGAGATTGTAAAATACTGCAATTAGAACACAGTATAC